GACCAGACGCTTCACCTCTAAAGGTATCAGTTTCCTCACCTACATAATGAGGGGGCCCTTGAGGTCCCTTCCACCTCCAAACCCTATGACTTATTACAGCAAAGTGACTCAACCAAAACCTACTGCCCCAGGGCCTCTCAAATATAAACACCTCCTATGTGCCAGGCACACTCTAGGCCCTGGGGATATAAAAAATGTCTGCCCTCAAGGAAACAGAATGTGAGAGAGTGATATTAGGACACAGATAAGTAAATAGACGGTAATCTGAAGAAGCAAACATAGCAATAACCACTAGGGCAATCAGGGAAGATACAGAGAAGTGTGACATCACAGAGGAAAGAATGCTACATGAGAATCAGAGGACCTGGGTTCCATGATTACTAAGCATTTACTAAGCACCTACTATGTGCCAGCCAATGTGATAAACCAGGACATACAAAGATAAAAATAAAAACAGCTCGTGTCCTCAAGAAGCTTAAGCTTGCCCAAGGACACAAATGTCAAACAGGCAATGGACAAGGATGTGGACACACTACAGGGCTCCCCTCTCGCCTGCTGCCCACTGGACCCTGAGGCTGCCACCCCTCTTTGATGTTTCCTACGGTTTTTCCTCCTTCCTTCAGTAGCTCTCAAAGCACTTTGTGTTGATTCTCAGTTCCATCACTAGCTTAGTCTGTTTGAGACGGACAATAGCAATGCTGAAGGGCTGGAGAGGATGGGAGAGTAAGGAAGGGGAAACTCCCATGGCATTACTCAAACCCCAAATAGAGAGGCCTGCAGCAACCTGGCCTGACAGGAGAGAACAGGGCTGACGATGAGATTCACTGCTGGATGCCAACCCCCTGCTTCCCTCTTTACCACAAAATTTGTTTTCATCTGCCTGTTAATTACAATTGTGTCTGCATTTTCATCCCAGCCATTTATGCAACAGGCATTAAAGCAAACAGAAAGAAATGTTAAAGTGACAGACCTCCCTTTTCCCCATCCCCTTCTGAAAGTCTTAATCAAACCTCTCTCTAAGCCTCTCTCAAATTCATCTGCTGGAGCTGAGGCTGGGACAGGGGAAAGGCTGCCAAAGAGCACTGCCCATGTGTTGTGCCATGTGTACTAAACATCCATTAACGGGAATAATTGAGAATTGTCTACACATCCAAGAAAACGTCACCAACACCATCTATGCCAGGCAATTTTCCAATCCTCCACCAGAAGCTTTCTCCAGTGTCCGCCTCACCATGGTGTGGACAGGACCCTCCTGCATTCACAAAGGCCATGCCAGCCGAGTGTGAGCTCTGACAGGCCCTAATGAGCAGGATGGGCCAGCAACAATCTCTCTGTCTTGGCTCTGAGGACGTAAAGCTCATCACCAGAACATCTGGCTACCAAGGGATGGATGTATCCAACTACAGCATCTCAGAAAGACCACTTATTAAAGAGTGGAAGGGTTTCCATCTGTGTTGGTGGAAATAAAGGATGCTTAAATTATTCAAGGAATTTTCTAATAACAGCTGCCTCTGGTGATTACTTAAAGCCCTCTAGAATTAGCCAAGTGGGAAGGATCCCCACCCCCAACATAAATAACTGCCTGCCACCTCAAAAATCCCTGTAAATAAGCCAGAAGTGATCAGATAGGCCTCCTCAGAGGGTCTACAGAAAAGACTGAATGCCTAATAACCATAGGAAAGAATGCTCCTATGCAAATCAAAACAACCCAGATATTTTAATACAGCAAAGTGTCAAAGATGACAAAGACAGGAATGTGCACATTGAAGGGACAGAGAGGCATATTACTGCATTATTGGTGGAAGTGTGAAGTGATATAACCATTTTGGAAAGCAACCTGGAATTATACGAATAAAGTGACTAAAATGTGCATACTCTATGACTCAGAGAGTCTATTGGTGGGCACAGAGTACAAGAAAGTCATTGACCAAAAAAAATGGCTCTGTGTACACCAAAATCTTTACAATAGCCCCTTCCTCGACAGCACTGGCTTGGAAACAAAGTGGATGCTCATAGATTGGGGAACGGACTAACAAATTACAGTACATGAATGTAATGGAATATGACTAATGTGATGGAATATGACGATTGTGATGAAGCCAGAGAAGTTGAAAACATCGACGCATTACTGATGCAAAGTGAAGTGATGTAAACAGAACCAGCAAGACGACACACACAATGACTGCAACAACGTAAGTGGAAAGAACCACCCCGACAATCCTTTAACAACCGAATGTTACTATCATGTAAAGAAGAAACTGAGCACTAAAGAAGAGGCGTGAGAACACAGCTCCCTCCATCCTTTTACAAAAGTCCATGGGTGTGAAGTGCTATGGGTCATATCAGACTTTTTCTTGATGTGTTGGTCAGTTTTACTAATATTTTTTTCTCAAGGACATCTCATTCTCTGGAAACTGCAGGGGCCACAGAAGCCCCAGTTGGGAAGTTGGGATCCTCCTGGAGATAGTGAGGTGATTCCCAAGAGGCCCACTGGTGGTATACACTATAAAAATGTGGCAAGACAGGGACTGTTTCAGCCCTCCTCTACTGAGAGGACCCAGAAGGAGAGTCCTACTATCTCCCTCTCACCTCAAACCCCCTCCTCTTCCAAACTCCTGGATTTCTGTGGAGGGGAGGACGCCACCATCAGAGGATTGCTCAGGCTCAGCCTTGTCTCCTCCCTCTCACCTGATGGGCTGGTCTTTTCTGTTCTCCCTCCACAAGATCTCCTGCATATATTGCTCTTCTCAACGAGTAGGGCCACTACCCTACCTCTGGCTCTCGCCACCTCTCATCTGGATCTTTGCAACGGCGTCCCTGCCTCAAGTCTTTGCGCACTCCAATCCATTCACTGCCAAAGTGACTTTCTAAGGCTTATATCTGACCATGTCACTCCCATATTCAATAAACTCCAGTGGTTTCCCATCATGCCTAGGATCAAATATCAACTCCTTAGTTTGGTGTTCAAGGTCCTTCACAACCTGACATCAATCCACCTTCTCAGCCTGACTCTACATTACTTCCCACTCCACACAGTCAAACAAGTCCAGCCAAACTGGCCTTCTGGCTATTGCTCAGACACAACATTCCACCTTCCATGTCCGCGTCCTCGTACTGGCCGTCCCCTATGCCTGACATGCGCTTTCTCCTTGTCTCGGCTTCTTACCATTCTTAGTTTCCTGAAAAACTCAGCTGAAAGGCTACCTTCTACCTTCTACCATTAAGCCTTTCCTGATCATTCCCCTGCCCTCTAGTCCCCGCCAAAAATTTTTTTACTTTGTATTTGTGTAAATTTTTTGTATAAACATATATGTGCCTGATGTCTCTATCAATAAAATGGAAGCTCCTTGAGGGTAGGGACTATCTCATGTTTATTTGTCTTTGTATCCCCAAAGCCTAGCCCAGTGCCTGCCCCTAGTAGGCTTTTAATAAATTGACTGATTTGATTATCTAGGCTATTTGGCAGTGATTTTAAGGAAAAAAAGATGTACACGAAGGGGTGAGAAAGTGTCAAACCATACAAAAGCCTTAAAACTCTCTCAATCTTAATGACAGCTAATTATTTTGGGGAATTTTAATCCTGAAGAATCAAGCCTATTAAAAATATAATCTTAAGATCTATGCTGAGTACAACCAACAATAGTTTAAACCAACAATAATTTAAAAATCAAAAACGAAACTATAACACAGCAAGTTTTCTCACTTAGAAAAACAATTTGGGAAAATAAGAAAGATTAAAGAAAAACAAAATGCTAACCACCTAGAAACTACATTTACTTAAATTTTTGTAATTAATAGATAGAAATGAACAAAAAACAAATTATCTTCAGCTATCCATTCTGGACAACAACAAACCAAGTACATTCACTGATTTATTCATTTAGATTATTTATTGACTCCTGCAATATGTAGCAACTGGGAGATATTTTTCAATAAGAGATAGAGGGTCCCTGCCCACTGGGAGCTTCCAGTCTAGCAACGGTCTAAGACGTGGCTAATAAACAATGGTTAACATAAGTGTATCAAAGAGTTCTAAAACAAAGTACCTGTGAGGTCCAAGAGAGCAGGCTGTCACCTAGAAGGCTTCATGGACGAGGTAGCCTTTGAGATGGGCTTAAGAAGATACACAGGAGATCCAAAGGCCAGGAAGAGAAGGAGGCTATCCCAGGAATAGGGATAAAAAAGGAGCAAGGGCAGAGAGGAAGTAAAGCCTAGTGAGTGGCCCAAGGGAGCAGAATAACCCAGTTTGGCGTGTCAAAGTCCGTGAGATAAACTATAGGTAATGCCAGAAAGCCAAGGGCCTGAATGCCAGGCAAAGGAGGCCAGCAAAGGTTACTGAAGAGTTTTAAGCAATGGAAAGAAGCTTATTTTGACAGCAGCACGGCCTGGAGGGAGATAAGAATGGAGACAGGAAGACCTGTTAGTAGGCAATAGTAATGGAAGTCTATCCTAAGATGGAAAGGGAAGGTGGTAGGAAGAGTAGAGAACAGGGAAGGGACTTCTGAGATGTTACAGGAGTAGAATCAATGAGAAGGGTAAGCAACTTGATATGAAAAACAAGGAAGAAAGAAGAGTCAAAAGAACCCCAACCTTTCAAACATGGCTGACCGAGCGAATGGAGGAGCCCCCAAGAGAAAAGTCTGAGACCAGGAGGAAGATGAGGGTGAAGAGGAAAGATACCAGTTTGGAATTAGACAAGTTGAGCCTGAAGTACATCCAAGCAGACATATTCTGGGGGCAGCTGGAGGCTGTCTCCAATCACAAAAAGCCAAGAAAAGAGGTCAGACAGACATTTGGGAGTCATTGGTGTGGAGGTGGAAGCCGAGGCCATGGGAGGGAACGAGATGGCAAACGAAGAGTACAGACAGAAGAGAAGCAGGCCAAGGACAGACCTAAGGGGAACACGGAAGACTTCATGCTATTGGAAAAGTTAACTGTTGTAACATATCTCCTAAGTGCCTTTCCCTATGGGAAGAGAATTCCCTCCAACGGTATTTTACCTCTCTGAAAGTTGCCGAATCTGTGGAATCCCCATGTACTTGTGAAAGTGTTCCAAGACGTTCACCACACCCTGTAGAAGGTTGGCAACTTCTCCATACTGTCGTCGCCTTGTCATGGCTCTGCAAGGAAAATCAGAAATTAAGAGACCCAGGATATCACCAACAGAGGAAAGCCTATTCTGGTCTGTAATTATGAGAAATATTTTCTAGGGTGTATCAAAATTCATTTATACACTACACTAAGACTGCACATTTTAGTCAACATTCCTTGCCAAGAGAGATTATCTTTTTCTAAGGTGACTACTGAGGTCAACTGAGCCAATGTCAATTAAAAAATGTTCATGAAATCAACAGTAAAACTTGGCAAGGAGGAATAAATGATCAGTTTCCAAATCCTTCAATAAGTCTTCATTTCCAAACCGTGGATTCATGCTTTACTAGTCCCTGGACGAGGCACTTAACAGAGCAGTATCAAATTCAAGCCAAGGTGTCAAGTTCATATTGCTTGAACGAATTCAACTAGATGAAAAATACCAGTTTCTGGGAAGAAACCGAAGAATAATACCCAAGGGGAGCCAAGTGGGTCTACCAATCCCCTCCCCAGTTATCAATTAAACCAACCACAAAAGGACGAGCCAGGGAGCCAATAGGGCATAGGCAAAATGGCCATATGTGAACTCAGGTCCTCCTGACTCCGGGGCTGGTGCTCTATGCACCACGTCACCTAGCCGCCCTGGCATACCTGCTTTGTCCTATCTTCCTTCCCCCCTCCTCCTAAGGTAGGCACAGCCACTAGATTTCCTTTATGCTATACTGAGGCACCAGAAACACTGCTGGCTTAAGAGAGAGTCAAGAGTGCAACAGACAAGAAAATGACACTGTCAGAATCTTAGTTTTATTGGAATCACTCATGAGAAAATCAAGCTTGCAAATGGCTCATCCTTTTCATGCTGTTTCCAAAGGTCCCACGAATCAGGCTGCAGAATCACAACCTAGGACCACTGTCTTTGCAATCCTCGGTGCTGAGACACACAATGAACTACATAAATGGCCCTCAGCTCTGCTGGACGTGCACAGAAAAACGTGCTGAGGCGGGTGCTGCCAGTGCGAAATCAAGCATCTGCACAGCCACTTTTACCTGTGGAGCATCAGTCCACCGGGGACAAATGAGCCCCCAGTCAAAAGGACGAGTGGATGGATGCTTGAGACGTCCAGCCAACAGAGGAAGGCGCCATGAAGTCGCTGAGGCCTACACAACCTGGCTGGGTCATTGCCAGAGCACTGAGCATGCCCAGAATGGAAAGCGCTAGAGGCTCAGGTGACTTACTCAAGGGAATCCACACCTCCTGCCAACATGTGCAGGTGGTTCAGTGTGGTTATGGAAGTGGTCAGGTGGCGTTTGGCGTGGTCTAGCTGCTTGATGTCCCGCGTGATTTCCTTAACCTAAATGGTGAAAAACAAAATGAAAATGAATCAGAGAGCACAGAAGAGAGGCGTCATCTCAGCACAAGAGCAGCTGCCCTTGAAAAAGGATTCAAGGTGACAACGGAGGCTGGGCCAGGCCAAAGGAAGACTATCCAATAAACTCATCTAGCATAAGATGGAGCTCCTTCAAATTAAAAAAAACCTCCTCAAAGATATTATTATAATATTCCCATTGTGCTGATTGGCAAAATACCCTTTAAAAAGATAGTGAATTCACTCTAGAAAGGTAGTAAGATGTGCTGAAAAGAACACTGGGGAGTCGAGTGATAGTGGACAAACTGCTTATCAGTAACTCAACAAGCTTTTGCTGAACACCTACTACGTGCTAGGAACTGTGCTAAGCCCTGGGGACTTAAGAATGGGTATCTAAATAACTGAGTACACACAAGACTGGGGGAGCAGATGGAGAGTTATCTCAGAGAAGACTTTACTTCCCTGGCTCAGTTTCCTCATCTATAAAATTAGATTACTCACAGGGATTACTCTTAGGGATGGAGCAAAAAAAGCGCTTTGGACCAGAGCTATCAGGATGGTTGAGCAGCAGTGTGGCCACCCTTCTGACATACTTGCTGGGAAAGTTCCCACAGCAGCCCTTCCTAGTTCCCTGATGGGGTTAAAAGAACCCAAGGCACAGAAATCTGGGGGCAGGACAATGTTTGAGGTGTAACAACTTGGTTTCTCATCTTCTGACTGAGGGTTCTCCTCCCCAAAAACAAGTCACCAGGGAGCCTTTCACTCATACTAAGCTCAAATGAGAAGTCAGAGAGAAGAAAGGATAACTGGGGGAGAGCCCCAGATTGTTAGATGTGTTTGTGAGGATGGATGATATCTTCCCTCGGGCATTTCTGCTCCACTGGCTTGTCAGTTTGTTGAGTAAGCTGGCATTGACTTGGTCCTGGGCAGACCAACCTTCACTAAACCAGCAGACACAAGATTATTTTGTCAAAGAGAATGAATCATAGAACCCTAGTCTCAGAGTCCTAGTGCTGGCAGGACCTCAGAGGTCAACTCTTTCATTTTACAGTTAGAGGAAACTGAGGCCCAAGGAGATGAAGCAACTTGCCCAAGGTTACACTTGTAATAAGTATCAGGTCATTTATTAATTCCTTTGAGTGCTGTCTTTCCGGGAAAGAGCCTGACTATAGCCTAAAGGGCACCCTTCGCCACAGAAGAGTGCTGCTTAGTAAATAAGCTCCATAATGAGAGCTGTGTCTGCTTAAAAAACAGCATGTTCAGAGTCAGAGCACTCCCACCTCAGCCAGAACACTAACAGGGACAACAAATTGAAATCAGAAGGTTGATGGGAAGGAGACTGAGAAAAGAGACCTTGGTGGTCCCTGGCACGATTCAATGAGTGGCCTGACAGGGCCCCTGCCCAACCACAGTCCTCCGGGTTCATCCAACGTCCTCTGGAAGGGCACTGACAGTATGCCAGCATCTCCATCTTCATTTTCAGCTGTGAGGCAGAACCTCGGGGTTCTCTTGCTCCTGGAGGACATTCTGCTTCTTCATCTTTTCTCTTACAAATTCACATTCCTTACTGATTGCCTACAACTATCATTCAGTGGTTGCTTACCTCTGGGGCAAAATATTTATGCTCTTCCCTCCCAAGGAAGACTCCTCTCTTTCTGACCTTTCCTGTGGTTCAGTTACTAACAGCCCCTCACACTGCCCAGGGAACAAGTCATAGGAAGAGCTCGTCCTTCTAAGGGATAAAAGGAAAAAGTCCTCACAGAATCAAATCACTGCAGAGCTGGAGAGTTAACCTTTTTCAGAGCTAGAAGAAAGCCCACAGGCCCTCCAGTCCAACTGTCTTCTTTCACTAAGGCCCAGCAAGATGAAATCACTTCCATGAGGTCACCCAGGTCATAAAAAGGCAGAGATGGGATTCACACCCAGGTTCTCTCACTCCAAACCTGGCACTCTATGCACCGCACCCGGCTGTCTCAACCTCCTCATTTCACAAAGTAAGATTTATGAAAAATGATTTTTCTGAGGAATCATTATCTTGGAAACTCAGAGTTTCCCCATCCCCCTTTACTTCTAAGTTCAGTCCTTCATCAGAAGGACATTAAGATGTAATCTAAATGGATCTATTCCTGCTCATTATGTTACCTAGACAGGTCTGGGAGAATGTTGATTCCTCCCTATTGTCAAGACAGGTGATACGGAAATAGATGCCTCTTTGACCAAGATTGAGTGACCTGGGTCACTTGAATGGCATCCCTTGGGAACACCTACTCTTTGAAGGGCATATGATGCTATACCTCCAAACCCCCAAACTGAGTCAGTTCTGAACTAGTCCCCTTAGGGGGGTCCAGTTTTGGACTGAACTCCCATGCAATGCATGTCAAGCTAGCTTGAGAGAAATTAAACCGTGGACCCACAAACTCTGATTTTGTTTGTCTCTTTCTTAGAGCTGACTGTTTCAAACTGGGGTTCTGTGGGGTTCACAGATTCAATGACTTGTCTAAGGCTACAGAGCTAGTTAGGAGCAGAGTTGTGACAAGCCAGGTCTCTTGACACTGCCCCCCTCCCCCCCACTACTGATGCTGCCTCCCAAGACCTTTCAGAACATAAAGGAATCCTCCTTCAGGATGACACATGTGAAAGATGGTTACCCCGTTTCTGCTTGAATACTTTCCATGACAGAGGGCTCATTCAATTTTGGGAATCCAACCTTGGAGCTGCTGGAATAAAGAGGTCATCATCCCTCTGTACTATGGCCTGTTAAGACCATATCTGGACTGTGTCACCCCAAGGCAGCAGAGTTTAGGAAGGATATTGATAAGCCGGAAAGCATGATGCTTAAGGGCCTTGAGCCCACACCTGGTAGGAACAGCACCTGTTTAATAGTGGCCGGCTGTCTTCTCCTCAAGGGGGCAGGAAGGCAGGGAGGCTATCCTTAGGCTTTGGTCAATTCTGGATAGTAAAGTTTGAACCACTGGTGGGGCTTCTGTGTCACCTGAGTCATAAAAAGCCCAGCCTATGGGGAGCTGGTGCTCCTACGGTCTAGTGGCATTGCAAATGTCATGAGGCCCATCTTTCTGCTCAGTAATCGCACTGTGGCAAATGGGAATGTGGAAACAGAAACAAAAGGGTGACTATTCACCTGAATCAATGCTGTATCCTTTTTGCTTTTTTTCTGGTTGAGTAAACTTCTCTTTGTTAAATATTTCATGGCTTGAAGCATGTCTCATTACATTCCAATCCCAAGCCTGAGTACTGGCCCAGTCTGAAGGAGGCCTGGCCCAGAAAGTTTCCTGTTATTCTGAAGGATTGAGTCAGAATTACCTTAGGGCTGATCTTGGGGCTGAAGTGGGGAAAGGGTGATTTGGAGGCAAGGGAGCATTGACTGGATGAGTGGATGGCACCTTGTGGCAAAACCAGGGGTTCTGTTTTTCTTGCCTTTTTAATCAAGAGAGTGAGGGTGGGAGGGAAAAATTTCAGATCTGAAGACAAAATAAAACTTATTTGTTTTTTAAAAAGGAAGAAAGAAAAACAGTCCTGTCCCTCAAGGAACTTACACTCCACTGGGATGGGATACACTCTGTATACAAATGACAATCTGAGGAAGAAAGGGCAAGGTGTAACAAATAAGGAGAAATCAGGCTACATCCTGTACAGGTGGCCCATGAGCTGAGCCTTGAATGGGGCCAGGAATTCTCTCTAGAAGGTGGAAATGAGGAGGGAATGCATTCCAGGGATGGGGATCAGTCCATGCAAAGGCACAGAGATGGAAGGCCAAATTTGGGTACTGGCAAGCAGGTCAGTCTGGCTGCAATGCAGAGAGTGTGAAGGGAAGTACCATGGAACCAGACTGTAAAGGGCTTAGACACCTCAATTATATTTAGTCAGCTGAGAAACATGTGAAATCAATGAAAACTGCAGGAATTAACCAAAAGCTGTAAGACAGTGTTACCTTAAAGACAGGGAGAGAAGGAAGTTTCCCTTCCGGAAAGAGCTGCAAGTGTAGGAGGGCAGGGACAAACAGCCACCTGTGAAGTTGGTGTGGAATGCATTTCCAGGGGCTGGCTCTACACTGAAGGGGTGGGGGGCAGCAGCCCCTCGGCTGACAGGAAGTGGGGGAGGAGGCCCATTAAGAAGCAAGGCTGGATTTGAGGCAGCCAGCCTCGACTGATTAAAAAAAAAATGTGGAGTACCACACTCACCATTTGCTCTGATTTTTCGGCTTTGTCTTTGATATCCTTAATTTTGCCGAAGAGCTGCTGGATGGCTTTTTGAGCCTCTTCCAGTGCCTAAAATAAAAGGAATCCATGAATGGGTAGGAAAAAACAGGAAATGCAAAGCTCCATCAACTACCAGGCCAGTCTGTTTCTGCCTTGAAGGCAAAGTGCCTTTGCTCGATCCCCTGTATCTTATCAGACAATAACTCAGTAACTGATACTGAATGCTGACCACCATGTGCGCAGACCAGGGCTTAGGTCTTTCAGGGCACCAGTCATTCAAATGGCTGAGGCTTCATCCCTTCTTCCTCTAAGAAAAGAGGCAGGGGACTTCTGGGACAGAATCTTGTGTACGTTCTCAGATCATGGTCATAGTGTTGGCTGTTTTGTGCTCAACAGCTTTTCTTTGTTAAAAGGCAGAGGGTACAGTTGACAGAATATTTCCAGAAATGACTATAATGTAATAAGACTTAAATAAATAAATTTTATTTAAATAAAACTTATTTCAATAAATAATAAATAATTATTCTTATACTTATTTCAATAAAATAAAACTTACATTAATATTTAATATTTATAAATATAAAATAAATTACAAATTATAAAAATAATTATAAAATAAATTTTAAAACTTATTTTAAAATTTAATATTTCAATAAAACTTATTTCAAAATAAAAAGGCCCTATCACTTTTATACAGTGAGAGCAACCAGCCATGGCTGGGGTGGAGCAGCCCCTTAAGGTGCCCCCTTCAAATACAGCAGAGAAGGAGCAGGGAAGGGGGAGGAAGGAGGAGGAGAAGACAAGAGGCTTCTGGATGCTGATAGATCCAGGATGGAACCTCTTTACGCTACCAGGAAGGGGTGGGCACTGCTAGGGCTGGGGTGTTCCTTCATCTGTCCTGCCCCATCTGGGGGCCACTGTGTGGGCCATACAATAGCAGAGGGGCCCTATGCAAGCAAGCCAAAGGTTTCCAGGAAAACGAAACGCTTGCAGAAATGGATACCACACCTTACAAAGGATGATCCACAGCAGCTCACCCAAGTGGAAAAAACCAGTGTGGGAACTGTGTGGGACTAAACGAACACACATGGAGAGCGTGGATGGTTCTGATGGACGATATCAGCCAAACAAAGAAATTGCAACTTCATTTTGACCAAAGCGCACTGTTTACTTTGGATTCGGGAGCAGAGCTTCTGAAACTGTGCTGGCAAGCCCTTTATAAACAGCAAATATGATCACAAATGTAGAATGTGGATAATAAAGTACTCTAAAGGGTATCAAACAGGAAATCTATTCAATGCTAGCACAGTTTAATTTGTATTCTTAAAAGAAAAAAAAGACGAGAAAGGCCACCAGAGAATGCACGGAATCTGGATTTGGAAGATCTGGATTCAAGGTGAAGATGTGTATGAGATCAGGCAAGTTTGGTGACTTCTAAAGTCATCTGTAAAGGGGGGGTTGACCGAGGTGACTTCTTAGCTTCTTTCCAGCTCTGGATCTGTGACCATTCTTTTTTCCCACCATGGTCCCATCTTCAGGAGTTCACAACATAAATTACACCAGGAGAGCAAGTGTGGGGTGAAGATAATGGCTTCAGTTCTAGACACAGTGGGTCTGAGGTATCAGATACATAGATGGAGAAGCTTGGCAGACAACTGGAAATCATCCTGTATCTCTCCTGCCCCATCACTGCTTCGCTTCTCTTCTAACCCTCCTCTTCTAACCGACCTCAACATTCAACTGAAATGGATTTCTCCAAAGTTACCAATGACCCCCTAATTACCAAATACGACTGTCTTTTGTCAGTCCTAAGTCTTCTCAATCTAATGGCTGCATTTGACACTGCTGATAGCCCTCTTTTCCTGAATATTCTCTCCTCCCTAGGTTTTCATGACATTACTCTTTCTTGTTGCTCTTCGGTCTCCTGGATGTACCACAGGCAACTCAAAACTCAACATATTAAAAACAGAATCCGTTAACCCTTTCCCCAGAACCATTCCCTCTTTAAAATTTCCCATTACTGTCAAAGGCACCACCCTACTCCTGGTCACTCAGGTTTGAAATCTTGGCGCCACCCTCAACTCCTCACACTCATCCACCCTCAAATCCAATCTGGTGCCAAATCTTGTCTTTTCTGGCTCTCATATTTCCCCTTTGGTACTCCCATAATCACCACCCTACTGCCTGAGGCCCTAATCACCTTGGTCTTCCTAATCACTCCTGGCTCCCTCCACACAGCTGCCAAGTACAGATCTGGCCGTGTCACTCTCTCCTCTCAATGAATGCCAGTGGCTCCCTATTTCCTTCAGGATCAAATATAAAGCCCTCTGGTTGGTACTTAAATCTCTTCACAATCTGGCCCCTTCCCACATTTCTAATCTTGTACTCAACTTCCTTCTGCGAACTTTACAAATGAGCCATGCTGGCCAACTTGCCTTTCCTCAACACGACACTCCCATCTTCCATCTCTGGGCCTTTGCTCTGGCTGTCCCCCCTCCCTCCAGCCCTCATGCCTTCGATGTTCTGGCCCCTCACCTATGCGTCTTAAAAGCACTTATTCCTCCTTTTGCAGAAGCCCCTTCCCAGCTCCCAGGACCTTCCTCCTAAAGCTGTTTTCCATGTACTCTGTGTATATCTTGTAAATATCTATTTATTTACATGTTGTTTCCCCCACTAAAATGGAAGCTCCTTGAGGGCTTGTTTTTGCTTTTCTTTGTATCCCCAGTGCTTGGTGCATAATAGGAACTTAAATATTTGTCTGACTGACTAGAGCTCTGGGGGAAGTTTCCAGCAAAGGATATAGGTCTGAGCCTCTACAAAGAAGTGATAACTGAAGTCATGGAAATGGATGAGCACCCAAGGGAATAGAGAAAGGGGAGAAGAAATTGCTCTCCTAAGTTACAAGGGGCTAGGGCCTGTTGAAATCTCCAGGTCATGAGGACTCCTTACTCATGCTAGACATTAAGTGGCCCTAACAACAGCTTCTATTTACCTCCTTCCACTCTGGGGAGTTAACTGCCACCATTAATAGGGCATGTGTCTCTTTCTGCTTTTCTATCCCACGTCAAATCTCACAGTGTAAAACAAAGATTTTCATGCTATTCCATATAACTTGATTTTTATGAGGACATCTTGTCATTTCTGTAACCTGGACACTGAGATATATTTAGTCCTTAATAGGAAAGCAGTTTGGTGCTTGGTTTTGAAACAACAGCTCACATTGCCTATAGATTCCCACATTCATGATCAAGAAAAAGTCTTGCCCCCCCCCAAAAAAAATCAGAGAAAATCCCAGTAAGCAGTGGAACAGAGTCAAACAACATTTCTCATTCATACTTAGACAACAGTCCTATCTACTCTCGATTTAATCCCTTGCTCAAATGGGGGGAGCAGGGGGCAGAAGAATAATAGCGACAATTCAGAAATCATTCCCATTTGGTTTTTGGATATATAATGGAAAAACAGATCTACCTTCTTACTTATACTTTGCTGAGGTTACTACTAACATTATCTGGCATTTCCCTAACATATACCAACTCAGCAGGAAAGGAACAAACCAGAAGCATATTTAGGTGGCAAAGAAATCAAGTCTCAGATTAGACAGAAAAGCTGGGTTTTGGCTCTCCCACCAACTTGCTAGGCTGACCCTGAGCAAAGTCACTATACCAGCCCCCCCACAAGACCTCAATTTCCTCATCTAAAAAATGAATGGGTAGGGATCACCAAGGTTTTGGGGCAAGAACTCACTATTCAACAAAAAATGCTGTGGAAAAACTGGAAAGTAGTCTGGTAGAAACCAGGCATAGACCAAACACCATATATGAAGATATAGTCAAAATGGGTGCACGATTTTTAATAGCATTTTATTTTTTTCCAATTACATCTAAAGACAATTTTTAACATTCATTAAAAAAAACTTTCTGAGCTCCAAATTATCTTCCTCCCTCCCTCATGACCCCCTCCCTAAGACAGCAAGCAATTTGATATAGATTACGTATATGCAATCATGTAAAACATATTTCCACATTAGTCATGTTGTAAAAGAAGAAACAGGCCAAAAGAAAGGAACCATGAAAAAAATAAAGAAAGTAAAAACAGTATGCTTCAATCTGCATTCAGACTCCATATTTCTTTCTCTGGATGTGGACAGTACTTTATATATATATATATACACATATATATATATATGTATATACACACACACACACACATACATTTTTTTTTTTGGTGAGGCAATCAGGGTTAAGTGACTTGCTCAGGGTCACACAGCTAGTAAGTGTCGAGTGTCTGAGGCTAGATTTGAACTCATGTCCTCCTGAATCCAAGGCAGGAGCTCTATCTACTGCATCACCTAGCTGCCCCTACTATAAATATTTTTGTATATATAGGTCCTTTTCCCTTTTTTGTGATCTCTTTGGGATACAAACCTAGTAGGGCTATCACTGGACTAAAGGGTATACACAGTTTGATAGCACTTTGGGCATAGTTCCAAACTGCTCTCCAGAATGGCTGGATCAGTTTATAACTCCACCAACAGTGCATCAGTATACAGATACATGATTTACACATTAAAAGGTGACATTATAAGCAAAGTAGGGGAGTACGGAAAAAAAATTACCTATCAGATCTATGGATAAGGGAAGAGTTTATGACCAAACAAGAAATAGAGAGGATCACAGGATGTAAAATGGATAAATTTGATTACATGAAATTAAAACTTTTTTGCACAAACAAAACCAATGCAGCCAAAATTAGAAGAAAAGCAGGAAACTGGGGGAAAATTTTACATTTCTCTGATAAAGGACTTATTTCTCAAACACATGGGGAATTGAGCCAAATTTATAAAAAGTTATAATTTGCATAGATATAATTATAAATGTAAAAGCCATTCCCAAATTAATAAATGGCTAAAAGATATGAAGAGGCAGTTTTCAGAAGAAGAAATCAAAGCTACCAATAGTTACATAAAACTGCTCTAAACCACTAATAACGAAATGCAAATTGAAACAACTACATGGTACCTCTATCAGATTGGCTAACATGATGGAAAATGCAAATGACAAATGAGG